GAATTTATTAAATATTTTTGGCCTGATGTACACAAAATATTTGGATGAATGACTAAATTTCTGACGCAACCAATTAAATTTTTTTGGCATTCTGTAGACACATCCACTATGTATGTCTACTGGAATCACTCCAAGTTAGGAATCAAGTTGTTTGAAATGCTCAGCATGATTTTTGTTGTAAGGTTTTTGGAAACCAATCTGTTTTTAAAACAAATTGATGGCTGTGTTAATCTTTGAAGGTGGGATTCTAAAAAGGGACATCATTGGTCAACTAAATGCACTCATGAATAATTTGACCATAGTTCATAAGCAAGAGGAATTGACACTTGAATAATTACCTGATTGATAGGATCAATAAAGCATCAAACTTACAGACTCAAATTAATAGGTTAACTGATCCAGGTAGGTTGTCTGCACCAAATATATTCACTTCTGCTGTTTAGACCCGTTTTGCAAATGCGGAAAGCACATAAAAGCATTGGTTTTACAGAATGGATCTGTCAAGCCACAATTAATATATTTGGAGCAGTGTATCATAAAACATAGTTAATAAGAACACATTAAATGAAATCTGTAATCAGTAAATAATCATAAATTCTGGTCTATAATGGTACACCTTTGATTACAATGACATTCAAAGAAATTTAGTGATTTTGAGAATTTAAAAAAGATCATTTATTGTAAAAGTAATATTGTAGTATGTAGTAATTCTACTTGCAGAGTAGTGCAGTGTGATTTATCAGTATTTTTTCATATAACAGGCTACCTAAGAAAGAGATAATTAGTTTTATAGATGATCCATAAGTTTCCCGATGAAGTGACCAGGATAAAATAGAAGATCAAGGTCCAAAGTTCCCGTGGACTCCTTCCCAGTTCTAAATCATTGACTTCTATAAGGTATAATATTACTAGCCTCCTGAGTGTTGTTTCTTGATATTTTTCAACTGTACACAGGAGCTCTAACAATCTCAACAGATTTATAAAAGGGAAGCGGATAATTTAGTTTTAATATTGGTTCATTTTTCCACCCACATCCTGAGCTCCAACTTCCCTCCTGTGCCCTATGCATCCTATAAAAAGTTACTCACCATTTCACTTTAACATAGCATGTTTTGAGGCATCTTTAGAACTAAAAAAATAAGTCAGGATGATATCTCCTGAAATTGTTATGAGAGAGAACATGTTGAAAGATGGGAATTTGGCTTAATTATTAATCAAGTGTGAAGAGCTTCTTTTTTAAAATTATTTTCTCTGTGTTCTAAATTCCTATTCTACTATGTGACAATGTAATCAATTGGATTTTCTTAATTTCTGGAATGATCAAGTGGGCTTTGAATTGGCATAATATATATTTTTTCTCTTAAAGATGTGTAGCATTATGCACCTTGCAGTTTGCTACGGTATATTCATTGCACCATTTGTTCAAAACAAAACAAAACAAAAAATACTTGTAACAGAAGATCTCTATAAATATTTTGAGAAATATTCTGGAAGCTTTCTTTAACTGTTAAGTATGGAATTCTTTTTTATTATGTTCTATGGCTGTACTTTAATAAATGCATTTTATTTCTCTCAATACTTTAACTGCGTTAAAATAGGACCAGAGAGGTTTAAAATGTATTACTTAATGTGGCTCTTGTCTAAAAGAGAGGTGCCATTTCTTATTATTTCTTTTAATTAACAGTTATGTAATTAGATGTTGTTTTTGAGGAGTTAACATTCAGAACCTAACTGTCCTCATGTGGAAAAAAACATTAACCTATATGTTGATTATAGAAAGTATGTCTATTATATACCTGTAATTAACAGTGAAAGATTACTTACATTTAGCAGAATATAAATTTATTCCTACTGGGAAAAAAAAACACATACTTTACAATGAAATAGCTAATTTTAATATAGGTACTACCAGCATTAACAAAAATTTTATTTTGCTCTAGTTATTTTTAAATATTATTAAATGCTATGT